TGACTGACTGACTGACTGACTGACTGACTGACTGACTGACTGACTGACTGACTGACTATCTGAAATGAATGAACAATCAAAATAGTGGAATGGTGCGGAGTGCTTGTGTGAAAGCCGACTGAGTTGATGAATGAATGGATGCCGTGACGAATGAATGGATGGCGTGACGAATGAATGGATGCCGTGACGAATGAATGGATGCTGTGACGAATGAATGGATGCCGTGACGAATGAATGGATGCCGTGACGAATGAATTGGATAAAAGAAAAATGAAAAAAATAGGACGTGTGTGAATCGAAATAATTACGTCAATGATCTATACATAAGAGCACTTAATGGATTAATTCATTAATGACCGAATTATGGACGGGGAGACTAATAAGATAAATAGGACAAAGAGCAAACAAGTCCACGGATCGAGCCGATGCTATTTGTTGAACGTTGTGCTTATTCTAACCTCACAAAACATAAATAATTCAGCTACTACAAGATACGTCTTATCTATTCATTCATTACCGAGTTAAAGTGTGGCTTTCTGTACGCGGCTATCGAAAGTCACTTACGAACACTACAGCACAACTAAGCATTATCTAAAAAGCTACCCCATAATTATAACACTACTATCAATAAGAAATATTCACAGGAGAYTCAAGCAGCTATGAAATGGAAAAGAATAGCCCGAGCTAAAAAGCTACCCCATAATTATAACACTAACTATCAATAAGAAATATTCACAGGAGACTCAAGCAGCTATGGGAAAAGAATAGCCCGAGCTAAAAAGCTACCCCATAATTATAACACTACTATCAATAAGAAATATTCACAGGAGACTCAAGCAGCTATGAAATGGAAAAAGAATAGCCCGAGCTAAAAAGCTACCCCATAATTATAACACTACTATCAATAAGAAATATTCCCAGGAGACTCAAGCAGCTATGAAATAGAAAAAGGATAGCCCGAGCGTCTAGATGACGGGTTCTATGAAAAGATAACAAATAACAAAGATAGCAAATCGCAAAACGTCCCGACATATCGATAAAGAGACAAGATGTCTGACTTCGTTCTACTTCACGCTAAAATGGACGTTATCGCGGTCAAAGAATTGATATAGTTGAATAGTTTTCTATGGGAATCTATTCTGATAACGCTTGCTTAATGGCCGTAAAAGCAAACAAATTACTAAGAAATAGTTCTATTATAAAAGAATGATTTCCTAATGCGTTTTTTGCAAGTTTTAGACCTGAATCTTACAGGAATACAAGAACAGCCCCTGTAATTATGGCGTTGGTGGTAATTAGGAGTCATGTCAATCGATACATTATAACAGAGCTCTTAATTTAGGTTTCCGTTCGTGTGGAAAGGGTCGATAGCAACAAGTGTCTCGTTTTCATTATCCATAGCTCTCTCAGGCCCTAGATTAAAAGTTTAGCGAAGGATTAGGAGAGCTTGACCTCGTAATAAACTCTGGAAAA